CACACACACACACACACACACACACACACACACACACACACACACACACACACACACACCGGTTCGCACATATGCATACACAACACTGCTCCTGGAGGCCACCTCCCACTGGGACACCCCTCAGCCTGCCCCCTGCAAATCAGGAGCCCCCAGCCCCCAGCTGGCCTGGCGTGTGTGTCCCTCTGGCCCCTGCCCAGGTCAGCCCCTGGCCCCCTTGGGAGCCTGCCTGCACTCACCCCCCTCATACCGTCTCATCTTTTCCTGAAGCCCAGTTTAGAGGCAAGGCGCGGGAGGTGCTGGCGAGTGTGTTTCCCTTTAGTCTCCCCTCAAAGGTGGGGTCACTGACTCGCCTTGGCCGGCATGGGTGGGGTGTGGCTCTGGCCCCCGGGCGTCTTTGTCCTGTACTCCACCCCCACCTGCTAGTGTGGGGTGTGTCCTGGGATGAGAGCTAGTGTGGGGGGCGAAGACATCCTCTGGAAGCAGGTGGTCCCAGCTCCCGGTGGCACCATGTCCTTGGGCTGTGTCACCCACCCACCACCCCCACCACCTTTCTGAGCACTTTGGCATGTCAGGTCACCTAGAATGGCTCACGGGGCGCTGGGCGGACCTGCCATTGGTTGGCGTTTCTTTGAGTCCAATTGGAATCAGTTGTACTTTATGTACCAAATGCAGTGACTCTCGAGGGCGTAGGCGGTGACTTTCACCTGCGTGCAGGAGATTGAGCCCAGCGCGGAGTTGATGTGGGGAGGCCCCGAGTTACTTTAGGCTCATGTTTTTATAATGCTGACCCAGACCTGGCCTTGTGAGGAAGTTGGCATTTGGCGTTGTTGTCCTGGGAGTCCCTGACCCCAGTCACGTGGGTTAACCTGGATCCCACAGGGGACCCGGCCACGTGGGTTAACCCGGATCCCAGAGGGGAGTGAGGTAGGGGCTGGGTGCACCTGGAGGCCAGCTCTGGTTTTGGCATCAACGGCGAGTGTCTGGTCTGAGCCTCATTCTGGTCTTGACTGTGATTCAGTTGATGGCGGGGTGGCTATCCCTGTGGAGAGCCTGGAGGACACTTGGGACCTTTCTGCACATGCCCTGCTGCATCCGTCCGACAGCTGCACAGTGAGGCTCGGCTTGGGGACACGGGCCTCATGCAGACGTGGTCTCTTTCCAGCATGGCCGGGACAAGCTCTCTGGCTGCATTCATCCTAACTCGGACTCAGGGAGGCCTTGGTCACAGGGACGGGGTTTTCTAGGTTTGCTGGGTAATGTCATCAGCCCGTTTGTTTCCGCAGGTATCATGGCGGGCTCGAACCGGTCTGGGGACCTCAGGGATGCCCAGAAGTCAATCCCCACAGGCACCATTCTGGCGATTGTGACCACGTCTTTTATTTGTATCCTTGAAGGGGTCAGGCCATGAGAGGTGCAGGTGCTAGGGAAGGACGGCCCCCCAAAGCCCCATGTAGCTCGCGGCTGTGCCCTCAGCAGCTCTGGGCGAGTTCTGACTACAACATCCGTCCCTTCGAGGGAAACCTGGGCTGATGTCAACCTCATGTGAGGAAATAAAGCACACGCCACCGGAGCACCACTGTCACAGCTGGTTATGGGATGTGGTGTACATAAACCGTATACCGCAACATGCAACACGTGCAACATATAACATGTTAGTGACATACAACTACTCGCATATCACTGGATAGTCACACACATACACACTGGTCACAGTTTTACAAAGCTGTGTGTGTCACTGGCCTGGAGATGCCAGGGGAGCCTTTTCTCTCTCTGAGATTCATCCCTTCTAAGCGAGTGAGCATCTCCAACCCGGTCCCTGCAGTGGTCACGCAGCAGCCCGGCGCGTCCTCACTGACCCGAGGCCGGTTCTGTGGAGCCAGGACTCAGCAGTGAGGACAGTACCTGAAGGACCCCCGGCGGTGCTGCCAGGGTGGGTCCAGGCCCGCCTGCGACCAGGGCCCTGCTGCCCACAAGCGCCCACTGCTTCCTTGACGCGAGCCGCAGACCTCTCCTGCATTGTGCTTTTTGGAGCTTGCATTGAAGGCGTGATCTTACGAGATAAGTATGTCGGTTTTCATCTTCAACTTATAGAAATTTCTGAGGTTAGCATTAGTTTTCTTAAATGACTTGAGCTTTGAAATGAGATCACCTTGGGTTTTGTGCTTTGCGTGTGGAGCGGGAAGACCACATGGCCCCTTTGTTGAGGTTCCATTTGGCCCCAGGTGTCCCCTCTCCTCCAGCCTGGAGCTAGGGACCACAATGGCACCTCGAGCCCCTACAGAGCTGGGGGTGCAGGAGCTCCTGAGAGAGGCCGTGGGAAACCCCGTGGGCCCTGCTGCTCAGTGAGCGAGCTGTTGCTCGCCGATCCCGCTTGCCCTCGGGATATGAGGGCTCCGGGGGGTCCCTGACAGTGGGTGACATGGCAGAATGAACCCTGGGCTGGGCCGTGGCTTCCCTGCCCCCGAGAAAGGACCCTCAGGGGGCAGGACCTGTTTGTTCATGGGGTGGCGACAGCATTACGCCCACTCAGAAGTTGCGGAAACCTTTGGTCTTCAGCTCACGTTTCAAAAGCCCACGCTTCCTGCCCCGCAGGTTCGGGGAGGCCCTGCAGGGGAACCTCGTCATCGGCACGCTGGCCTGGCCGTCCCCCTGGGTGATTGTCATCGGCTCCTTCTTCTCCACCTGCGGCGCTGGCCTGCAGAGCCTGACGGGGGCACCGCGCCTGCTGCAGGCCATCGCCCGAGACGGCATCATCCCCTTCCTGCAGGTGAGCATGACGGCCACCTGCGTGTCCCGGCCGGCTCCCCTCCTGAGAGCGGGGACCCTCGGGGAGGAACGTGCCGGCAGGTCCCCAGGGACGGCCCTGAGGCAGAGCCTGACTGTTAAGGACGATGGTCCCACCTCCACCCTGGGCTGTTGGAGCGACGTGGGGGCCTCCGCTTCCCGGGGGGTCGGCATCTCTCCTGTCACCACCCTGTGGGACACTGTGCCCGGCACCGTCCCGCTGTGACGATGACGACGGCCATGGTGTCCGGGGCCCCTGCTGCTTCCAGTTGGGGCTAAAGCTTCCTGGAGTGAGTCTGAGGCCGTTTCCGTGTCAGTGCCCTGGGTCCACCGTGGCAAAGGCCACAGAACTGGTGGCTCAGGAACACAAGTTCTCTGTTCTGGATGCAGAAGTCTGAGGTCAGGACTTGCAGGCTGGCCCCTCCTGAGGCCTCTCCTGGGCGTGTGCACACTGGCTTCCCCCATGTCCTCACAGGCCATCCCTCTGTGTCCGTCCTGATCGCTTCTGTTAAGGACACTGGTCATGTTGCATCAGGGGCCACCCTAGTGGCCTCCTTTAAAGTTCCCAACTCCGAACACGGTCGTGTCCTGAGGTGCTGGGGTCAGACCTCACCACCTGAAATTTGGGGACCCAACGACCTTTGTATGCCTCGACCCTCTGGGGTATGACCTTGGTGGGCATGTCACTACGGCCCCAGCGTCTGCTCTTCTCACCTTTGTTTCCTGAAACTGATCCCAGCAGATGTGCGTTTCTTCACCTCTCACGGCGTCTGTCCGTCTGCTCGGGAGGCGAGGCCACGAGGGTGCCCTGGCCGCACAGGGACCATGCTAGATGGCGCGTGCCGGCCAGGAGGGCGGGCCACCTGCTTGGGAAGGTGGCGTCGGGGTCGGCCCTGGTGTGTGGAGCACCCGCCACTCCCCGCGGCTGGACCTCCCAGGCCGGCCGCCCACCCCCATGCCCGTCTCCCTGCAGGTGTTCGGCCACGGAAAGGCCAACGGGGAGCCCACGTGGGCCCTGCTGCTCACGGCCCTCATCTGCGAGACTGGCATCCTCATCGCCTCCCTGGACAGCGTGGCCCCCATCCTCTCCATGTGAGTGGGCGGGCGCGGAGGGGCGATGGGGCCGGGGACCTGGCCCAGCTTTTCTGACGCCGCCGCCGGGTCCCCAGGTTCTTCCTCATGTGCTACATGTTTGTGAACCTGGCGTGTGCTGTGCAGACCCTGCTGCGCACCCCCAACTGGCGCCCGCGCTTCAAGTACTACCACTGGTGAGGGGCCACCGGGAGGGGCCACCGGGAGGGGCTGGGGACGAGCCCCGAGGGGATGCTTTTCACTAAGGGGCAGAGCCGTTCAGGACGCAGCTGCCCCGATGCTGGCTGGGGGCGTGGGGGCGGCTGGCGTGGGAGGTGGGTTCTCGCGCCCGTGACCACACGCTCCCGCAGGACGCTCTCCTTCCTGGGCATGAGCCTGTGCCTGGCGCTGATGTTCATCTGCTCCTGGTACTACGCCCTGTGTGCCATGCTCATTGCCGGCTGCATCTACAAGTACATCGAATACCGCGGGTGAGCGCCGGGGCAGCAGGGCCCGGGCCCCTGGGGCAGCTGGAGGCTGTGGCAGGGCCCTTGGCGCATGCAGGTCGGGTCCCTGTCCTGGGGACAGGTGCATAGGGACCTCCGGGCACCTGCCCCGGGCTGGGGGCAGGATCGCCGCTGCAGCCCTGGTCCTACCAGGCAGGGAGCTGCCATGTCAGCTCTTCTCAACCGACTCCACGTTTGCTGTGACTTAGCATTAGGTTTATTTGCGTCTCAATGTAAAAGACAGCGTTCCTTAGCATGTTTTTCGTTTTTGGAACGTGAAACCCCCCTCACGACAGGACTGATGTGTGATGGATTTCAAAATTTGTAGAAACCACACTGTCAGACCGCACTGGGCAGCAGTGGTGCCTCCTGGGTCATCTCCCCTGGCTGCCCAGGGGAAGGAGGCGGGGCCTCTGGCCCGGTGCTGGGGTGTTGGGGGGTGGGGGCGTGACCGGCTGCACAAAGCCCCCCCAGCTCTCGTCCCAGCTCTCGGGCGCTTTGGAAGGAGGGCCTGGGGGCCATGACCGCTCGTGCTGGCTGGGCCCGGCCTCCCGGAGCCGACTCTGCCCAGGCCGCTGCCTGCCCGGCCATCAGAGGCCCCCCCCACATCTCCATGTCCTCCAGACAGCTCCCCCTCGGAGGTCCCTCCCCGTACCCTCAGCAGCCTGGACGCCCGCTCTGTCACAGAAGCCCCGCGAGACTCCCCGAGTAAGCTTACGCGGGCGGCTGCGGGCAGGGCCTCACTGCTGTCCCTTCTCTGCAGGGCCGAGAAGGAGTGGGGAGACGGGATCAGGGGGCTGTCGCTGAACGCAGCCCGCTACGCCCTCCTGCGCGTTGAGCACGGCACCCCCCACACCAAGAACTGGAGGTGAGTGCCCGCAGCCCGCCCCCAACCCCACCTCCACCCTTGGAACTCGTGGAAGTCTGTTTCTAAAATCAGATCTACAGAAACCCCTCCTCATGAAAAAAAAAGTCTCGGGAGCTCCTAGCACCTTCCCTGAGTCCTGGGCGTGGTCGGCTGTGACCATCAGTCCCGAGCTCTCAGCCTGGCCTGGGTGCGGGGAAGGGGTGAGCTTTCCGAGTGCGGGTCCTGCTGCTGATGGAAGATACAGCTGTGACAGCTGGCCGCCCCCTCTTCGCACTTCGGGGAGGGGGTGGGGGCAGGGCTAACCCTGCGGAACAGGAATCCGATCACTGAAAGCCACTCGGCCTCCATCCTGCGTTTACCTGGAGGTGTTGCCAGGCAGGGAGGGGAGGTGCCCACCGGGGTTCTCGGGTGCGGGGCCTCAGGAGGCGTCTGGCTGTTCACCTGTCCCACCTGTTCAACTGTCTCACCTGCCCCGCTGTTCGCCTGTCCCCCTGTCCACCGGTTGGTGACGCGTTGTAACGAGTTGCCGTGGTAACTGCGATTCCTACACAGGCCCCAGGTACTGGTGATGTTGAACTTGGACGCTGAGCAGTGTGTGAAGCACCCACGCCTGCTGTCCTTCACCACGCAGCTCAAGGCCGGCAAGGGCCTGACCATCGTGGGCTCCGTGCTGGAGGGGACCTACCTGGACAAGCACGCGGAGGCCCAGCAGGCTGAGGAGGTGGGTGGTGCGTGGGCTGGGCTAGAAGGCGGAGGGCTGGGGGCCAGGCCGTGTCTGCTCGGGCCGCACGCGAAGGTCTCCCGTGTCTGATGCCACAGACACAGTGCCGTGTGCTGTGCCATCACCCATCTCAGAGACGACCTGAGGGGTCGTTGCGTTTGAAATGTGCTGAAGAACACCCCCGCCTTTCACCAACATGGGATGCTCAGACCTTAAAGAGACGGTGCCAGTTACACCCAGGAAGGTGTAGAACCCGGTGCCGAGGGCCGTTCAGTTCCAACCCTGGAAAAGTCCTCCACGGACGGGTCCCTCTGGAGCCCTCGTGACGGCCCAGCTCCTGTGCTGTTTCCGTCCATGTTGCAGGTCTCTGCACGGTGGCCTGAGGGCCCTGTGCCTCCATTTGCCCGCTCAGAGGCTCTGAGGCGGTGGCAGGGGCAGAGGGGTCGGGTCGTCTAGCCTTTGCATGAGTGTCCTGTGGTGGCCATAACCAGTGACCACACACGGGGGGACCGACAACGAGAGGCTTATCCTCTCCCAGTTCTGGGGCCAGAAATCCAAAATCAAGGTGCAGGGTCGCACCCCCCAATCCCCCAGACTCTGGGGGAGGACCCTTCCTGTCCTCTAGCTGCTGGGGGCTCCAGGCATCCCTGGGCTGGCAGCCACATCCACCCTCTGTTTACATGGCTTCTGTTTATATGGCTTCTCTTGTATCTCTGTCTCTTCTCTTATAAGGACACTTGTCCCTGGATTCAGGGCCACCCAGAGGATGCAGAAGAGTCTCCCCATCTCCGCATCCTTGTCTTAATCCCATCTGCAAACAGCCTTTTTCCAAATAAGGCCACGTTCGCAGTTTCTCAGGATAAGGATGTGGACGTGTCTGTTTTGGGCTCACCATTAACCTACGATAGGCTGTCCCCGAGCCGCCCCCAAATCCACGTCTGCCTTATGTGCATAATACGTTCATCTCACCCTAATACCCTCCCAAGTCCCAACCCATTACCAGCTCTCAGTCCAGAATGTCATCCAGCTCCCAGCAGCTCAGAGGTCCCAAATCCCACGTTCCATGTTATCAGAACCGGGTGTTGGTGAGACTGTGGGTAAAGTCCACCCTGGGGCGGAATTCCTCTGTGCACAGACCTGCCTGCTCAGAAAACAGGTTATCTGTGTTCCAACGTGCAATGTGGGGCAGAGGGTCCCGTTCTAGGAGGCAGACATGCCACATGTCACCGTCCTGAGAGAGTTTGAAATCCAGTGGGCAGTCCTGTTTGGTGTAAGGACCCGGAATGCTTTTCTGTGGCTCCAAGCTCCGCCCAAAGGGGGCCCCGGGCCTGGCCACTGCTCTGGTCAGCGTGGCTGCGGAGAAGACCACCACCCACACGTGGCAGTGCTCTATGGAAGGCACGTTTTGGTCACTGTGCGTCAGGCCTCCCCTCGCCTCGTGTGGGACGGAGCCAGCAGAAACTGCACGCCACGGACCGTATTTCGTCCCTGAACCCGTGAAGTGCCGCAGTCTCTCTTAGAAGTTGTTACATTTGAGGAGTTCTAGTGAGGTTTTCCACAAACCAGGTGTTTAACACAGGCCCTGAAAAGTCCCAGTGAAACGGGAGGTTTTGTGACAACGTAGAGCGTTGAGTTGTGTGCACAGCGAGGATTGTCCCCCGTCTCCTACGCACGCACAGGCGGTCCCCTAGAGCACACGCCAGGTCCTGCGCTGTGCCTCTGGCCTCCCTCTGAGGCGGTGGTGGCCAGGGTGGGGTCCGCCCAGTGCCGCCCGCACCCCTCTGGTGGGTGGTTGGATGGGGCTGGTGCGCCTGCTCCCGGTTGCTCCGCGGGAGCTGTGGCACTGACCCCCGGCCTCTCTGCAGAACATCCGGTCCCTGATGGGCGCTGAGAAGACCAAGGGCTTCTGCCAGCTGGTGGTGTCCTCCAACCTGCGGGACGGCATGTCCCACCTGATCCAGTCGGCCGGCCTGGGGGGCATGAAACACAACACGGTGCTCATGGCCTGGCCCGAGTCCTGGAAGGAAGAGGACAACCCCTCCTCCTGGAGGAACTTTGTCGGTGGGCAGCATCTCCCGCAGGTGGTCTCCAGCCTGAGCTGCTCCCCGACGCCGTAGGGGCCCAGCCATGCCGTCTCACCTAAAAAGCCAATGACCATTTCAAAGCCTTGACCCCCCCCCCACACACACACACACCGCCATGTCCCCCGGTTTTGCCATCCCTGTGGAGGTGCCCTGTGCCGCCCGTGGAGTTGCGGATGGAGCGAGGGCTGCCCTGGGCACCCCCTCCCCCCGGTGGGGGCTCGGTGGGGACCCTCTCGCACGGGCTGACCCACGTGCTTTCTTCCCCCAGACACCGTCCGTGACACCACGGAGGCCCAGCAGGCTCTGCTGGTGGCCAAAAACGTGGACCTGTTTCCACAAAACCAGGAGCGCTTCAGCGACGGGAACATCGACGTGTGGTGGATCGTGCACGACGGGGGCCTGCTCATGCTGCTGCCTTTCCTGCTGCTGCAGCACAAGGTGGGCGGGGGGGGTACGGGGGGGCACCCGGGGGCGGAGGCCCTGCGAGCGGCCCTAGGACCTCACTGAGGGTGCCCCCCCCCCAGGTGTGGCGGAAGTGCCGGATGCGCATCTTCACGGTGGCCCAGGTGGACGACAACAGCATCCAGATGAAGAAGGACCTGCAGACGTTCCTGTACCACCTCCGGATCAGCGCCGAGGTGGAGGTGGTGGAGATGGTGAGGGCTCCGGCCGGCGCGCCGCTGGCCGCTTGTCTCAGTCCGGTGTCATCGGGACCCGCGGGGCGTGTGCAGGCGGAGCCGGCTCCCGCCGTCCCGTGCTGGCCCTGCACTCGGCACGGCTGCCACACGAGGGTGGCCCTGCTGGTCACCGCCCACAGGCTCCCTCTTCAGCACACACACGCCGTTCCCGACGCCCTGTCTCGGGACCCATTGCTGTACTTCTCTGGGCTGTGCTGGTTTCTCTTTCTTCATGACCTTGACAGTTTAGAGGGGTCAGGTATTGGGTAGAATGTCCCCCAGATGAGGTTTGTCTGATGGTTTTCTCGTGGCGGACTGGACTTGGTTTATGGGAGGAGGACCCCAGAGGGGGCACGCTGTCCCTGGTGTGTCTTGTAAGGGGGACGTGACATTCCGCATCGTAGGACCTGGGGTCCGGCGTGTCCGCAGGCACCTCTGCTGTGACGTGGCAGTGGTTTCTTCCCCAGACTGTGGTCTGGAGACGCGTCCCTGGGTCCACAGGGTGCAGGAGGGCGACTGAGCTGCCGGGATCTCCGTGTGTGTCGCTGCATCTGTGTGTGTGCCTCACACTCCTTTGCACGTTGAGTTCACCACACGCTTCATTGTGTTGCTCACGCTGCCGGCTTTGGCTGCGGGGACATCTTCCGGTGGCTCCCGCGTCCCTTTTGCTGTCCCCCGTCCTGTAACCATCCGTTGGCTTTTGCTGTCCGTGTTCAGGAACCTCATATAATTTTAAATTATCTGAAGCCAAACCGAATCAGGGTGCAATGGTCTTGCCCCATTTGAGGACGTATGGAGTTGGTGTCACAGTTTTGCAGTAATTAGTTATTATATTTCAAAGCCACTGGTTTTACTCAGTTTTCCAAGTGGGTAGCTGATGGCATTTATTTAACAATAACGTTGTTAAAATCTACAGCCCTGCTTGACTTCAGTCATGATTGCTGATTAGGTTTAAGTGGAAAGCGTCTGGCATTAGGGACATAATGGTGTCCCTAAGGGAGCGGGCCTGCCCCTGCCCTCAGCCACCCTGCTGGCCCGCCTGTCGGAGGAGGCACGTCCTGAGCAGGAGACCTCAGCCGAGTTAGGTCCTTCTGTCCGGGGCGGGCAGGGTGCCCCCTACTCCTGTTTCGGGCGTCTTCTCCGGGCTGGCCTCCCCCTCCAGGGCACCGCAGGACAGAAACGTGCAAGATGCTATCACGTGGCCTCACAGCGCGGGGGGCCAGGCGTCACCCTCAGCCCCCACGCTCAGGGGTCCGGGGTCCTCGGGAGGCAGCGGCCCACAGGGAGCCTGAGCGCCGTGGGCGGGGCGCGTGTGGAAATGGAGGCGAGGGGAGGCCGATGGCCAGACGCTAAAATTTAACCATAAAGAATCAGGGCCACTGACAAGGAAGGTGTTTCCGGCCGGTAAGGCTGGGAAAAGCCCCGTCAGGAGTGAGCTTGGTGGCTTTGCTGATTTTTCTCTAAAATGAGGAGATGTCACCAGGGAAGTAAGAATGAAGGGACTTTTAGTGAATGGACCCAGAGCGCCTGAGCCAAAACCAGCTCGCTGAGTGAGGGTCAGCACGTCCCGGCTGTCCGCGGCCGGCTGCCCGCAAGGGTCTTGCCTCCCGGATGCTGGTGTGGTATGATTTAAGTACCTGGAAAACCCAAGGAAATAAACATTTTATTCAGTGAAATTTAGTAGAGTGGGCTGATACAGAAATAATACGTTAAAGTTAATTTCCCCACCCAGTGACTCACGAGAAAGTGTCAGGGAGTGACGCCCAGCTCCCAGGGCCCTGCTGGGCAGGCACGGAGCCCCACGGAGGTCCTGCGGGCGGTGTTCCCCAGGGCTGAGGGGCGTACGCAGGGGTCATGGACCCCGTGTCGCCCACTGAGGGACAGGCTGGGGCAGCAGAGGACTGAGCTCGGGTCAGTGGGTTCACAGATTTCCCCTGCACTGTGCCCACAGCTCTCCTGGGCACAGAAAATGACTCCTTTTACTTGTGAGTGTGTCCCTCGCACTGGGCCGTGCACTCGTGGCCGCAGCCGGGCAGTGCCCTGGCCAGAGCCCTGGACACAGTGTGCGCCGGTTCATCTGTTGGAGTTGGTTTTCCTTCTCACGGCGGCTTGTGTGTTAGTGAACGTGGGTCCTAGGGAGGGCGGCGGGCGGAGAGGGGAGGGCTGGGGGGATGGGGAGGGTAGCGGGTGGAGAGGGGAGGGCGCGTTCAGTTGTGAGGGCTGCTGCACACACATGCTCACCCACATATGTGCTCATACCCACTCATGTACACGCACACAGGATGACACGTGCTCACACGCGTGCACACACACTCAGCCCTCCCGGGACGGGGGCTCGGAACCCGCAGAGGGGGGAGCCCGGCAGCCCAGCCACAGAGTGAAACAGGTGATGTGGTGAAAACGCGCCGCTGTGCGCATGCTGACTGACCTCCGCCCTGCAACCTCCAGGTGGAGAGCGACATTTCCGCGTTCACGTACGAGAAGACGCTGCTGATGGAGCAGAGGTCCCAGATGGTGAAGCAGATGCAGCTGTCCAAGACGGAGCGGGAGCGGGAGGTGCGTGCGGGGTGCCTGCGCCCCTCGGCAGATGATGGCGCAGGACCCTCTGCTCCCCAGCCCCGGGGGCTGCTGGGACCGGGGTGTGTCGTCACTTTGAGCCGGTCACGACAGTCCTGGTTGGCCGCCTGCCTCTGCCTCCTCTCCCCACGGTCACTGCCCTCACCAGTCTCTGGGCCACGTCGAGGCCGGGCGGGGCTGTGTCACCCAGTCTCCACGTGCCGACTATTCAGAGCTGTCCCCGCTGTGCACAGCCCCCTTCTCTTACGTCACTCCTGCCCGAACCCCATGGCAACCTAACTGGCCACCACCTGCCCCTTCCGTCCTGCAACACGCGTCACAGAGTCTCTTAAGAGCCAACGTGTTACCCCTCCCCGGGCTCCGTGCCTGACCTCACACGGCCGGCAGCCCCGCACAGCCCCGCCCTGAGCCCGCTCAGCCCCACAGCCCCCCGTCTGCCTCTGGCCGTCGGTCGCGCCTTTGCACACAGGCTTCCCGGGTGCTTTGTGTAACACTGTCTCCCTCGTCCCACACCCGTCCCCAAACTCCATGGTACCTACTGCCCACCCCAAACATGGCCTCCCTGGTGGGCCCTCTGCTGTTGGTGGATAAGTAGATGCGGGGTGGGTGGGTGGATGAGTGAGGTGATGAATGGATGAAAGGAAGGATGGATGAGGGAATGAATGAACGATGACAGCAAGGGTGGATGCGTGGATGGAGGGAGGGATGGATGATGGGTGGGGGATGGATGGAGGGATGGACAGATGATGGGTGGATGGATGGAGGGATGGATGGGTGGAGGGATGGACAGATGATGGGTGGATGGAGGGATGGAGGGATGGATGATGGGTGGAGGGATGGACAGATGATGGGTGGATGGAGGGATGGAGGGATGGATGATGGGTGGAGGGAGGGAAGGGAGGGATGGATGTCCCCTTGAGTCAACATGGAGTCCTGGGTCTTTTCTCAGTGGCTTTCAGAGGCAGGGCAGGAGGAGACAGAAGGAAGTGATGCGTTTGGTCTGGAAGCCCAAGAGGAAGGGCGACTGGCCGGGGGTGGGGGTGACACTGGGCCCCAAATGAGAGGCTGCTCAGGGATCCCCAGGTCCGGTTGGTTGCGAAGCCCTCCCGGTCCCGAGGGCCGGTGTCTTCTCCGCCTCCGTGGGGGAGCTTGCAGACCTGCCACGCTGAGCCCCGTCGCTGCCCTCCCCTCCCGCCAGGCTCAGCTCATCCACGACCGGAACACCGCGTCCCATTCTGTGGTGACGGCCAGGACCCAAGCCCCGCCCACACCAGACAAGGTGCAGATGACCTGGACGAAGGAGAAGTTGATCGCTGAGAAGTATAAGAACAAAGACACCGGCATGTCTGGGTTCAAAGACCTCTTCAGCCTGAAGCCGTGAGTGGCGGCCTGCGGGGCCTGGGTGGCGGGTCCTGGCTGTACTGACCCGACCCCCCTGCCTGTCAGCGGACACACAGCCGCAGGCCGGCAGGCCTGGGGGGGCGGGGGACCAGCCCAAGGGCCACACTCTGCTTTCAGGGCCAGTTAGCCGGGGCCCGGCAGTGTCCGTCGTGAAGCCGGCCTGTCTGAGTTCTTGGTGGGTCTCACAGCAGCCAGACGTTAGGGCTTCTAGGTGGATTGGGACTCCCAGCTTGGCCCTGCTGGGGGTGCAGGCTGCCCGTCGGAGCCTGTCCCCCTGCCTTGGCTTCCATCCATGGGGTTGAGCCGAGGTGCCCATGGAGAGCCCGGCGTGCCTGCTCCCGGGAAGGGGTCCTGGGATAGGACAGCAGGGTGGCTTCTCCTGGGGTCTTCAGTGACCCAGACCCTAAAGCCTGGGTTGTCGGGAAGGACCTGGGGGCTTTCTGGGGCCCCTGGGATGAGGCCCCCTCGCAGGCAAGGATCAAGGCAGCCCAGGAAGGGGTAGCCAGAAGCGGGCGGGGGGAGTGGGCGTCGCGGTCGCCGAAGTAACATGCTTTTGTGTTTTTTCTCCCCTGTAGAGAATGGGGAAATCTGTAAGTCACTTGTGGGGTTTAAGACGCCTCTTAGCCTGCTTGCCGCGCTGCCCGGCCCCTCGGGGTGCGCGTGTGCATGGCCGCGTGTGCACGTGTCCCATGGTGCATGCGTGTCCGTGTGCAGGCGGAGCTCGTCCGCGCTGCTGTGGCTCTCAGTAACTTGCTCTTTAGTTTGCTCCCCTGGGTTCAGAGCGGCTCACGGCGCATCCGCGAGGTTCATTCTCTAAACGCTGCGTGAGAGCAGAGATCGGGCGCTGGCCCTGGGCCGCTCTGACCGGAGAGCGTGTGCTTCCATCGCGGCTGGATGATTCCTCCACATCCCTCAGTCGAGGTGTTCTGATGGAAAATCTCAGTCCTGCGGGGCCAGCATCTCTGTGTCCCCCGGCCTGAGGACACGGCTGTCCTCTAACCTCTGTGTGAAGGGGGATGTGGATGAATTCTGTGCGTGGTCAGTAGGGCGCTTAGTTCCATGGCCAGGGGCCAGGGGCCAGGGGCGAGGACCAGGCCGGCCGGCGGGGCGCGGGCCCCCTCAGGTTGCCGTCGGTCCGTCTGTCCCTCCCTCTGCCCCCCAGCCCAGGGCAGCGTCCACAGCGGAGCCCTGGGGCCAGCGGCTGCACTTCCTTTTTTGGCGCCTGAGCCTGATTTAGTCACACACTGAGGACAACGGGACAGTGCTGTCCATCGAGGGAGCAAACGGGCGGACTTATCAGGAGACTGCTGGGGGGAGGGGCACGTGGGGCCCTTTCTCTACTTTCTGCTGTTTTTCTACACATTTAAAAGTCCCCTCCCCATAAAACCTGTAAACTAAAGAAAAACACAAACATGTAGATGCAGGAATAGGGCTTCTCCCTAAAACACTGTTGAACCATGGCCCCCAAGACACCCCGCCCCCACGCGGCCCATGTGGGCTCCACGCACCTGGAGCCCTGCCCCCTGAGCTGAGCAGGGTCGGGTTTGGACCCCTGCAGGCCGGAGACCAGAAGGAAGTGGCCCGGGAAGAGGCTGTCTCATGCACTGAGCTAAGCAGACGGACGTTGCCCGGGGCCTCCTCCCATCTGCTCTCCTCGGGGCTCGGCTGGGGAAGCTTCTGGAAGGTGGGGTGGTCAGCCCACACCTGACACGTGTGTGACCTCCCGTGGTGTCCCTCGGGTGTGTTGTGCACGTCTTGCTCTGTGTCCTCTGTCCCCAGTGGCCCCATTCTCCCAGCCTCGAGAGCCTGTGGAGAAGCCCTTCTCCGTGCAGCAGAGTTCTGTCTGATTCATGGCCACCTGGGGACAGGCGGGCCACTGGCCCTGTCGGCGCCTCTGACCCCCACGGGGGCTCGTGGCCCTGGAACCATGGCCCTTGCAGACCCAGACATCCGATTGCAAGATGATGTGTGCTCTCAAACGCTTCATCCTACGAGACCCGTCGGCACCTCCTCACACGCATTCTGGAGCTGCTGCCGTCCGGGCGCACTGTGATGGTGGTCTGTCTCTCCAGGCAGCTCATTCATGGTTCAGGGCGAAAGACCCTGGTTGTGCCACAGACAGAGACCCAATCTCTAATTTTATCAGGCAGAATCGGAGGGAGAAAAGAAAGGGTCCCTGTTTCCTTCTGGTAATTGGTGGCTGTTACCAGATTTATTTGTCTTAAGGGTGGCATTGACCACAGGGCGTGGCCTGGGCATCTGTCCTGCAGGCCTTTCTCCGAGCCCTTGTGCCTGGCCTCCGTCTGCCCGTCCCTCTCATTTCGGGCACGGGGGCCTTGTGGGAGGGCTGCCCCGGGAGACGCACGTGCTGTGAGGCCGGCGGGGCTGCTAGGCCTCTGCCTCCGGGGTGCTTCCTGGAACACAGTTCCCGAGATGGGACCCGTGGGGTCCTGCAGGTTCCCGAGTGCCTGGCTCTCAGTCTCCCCAATCCTGCTTGGCCGGGTCCCTCCCTCAGGGGCCACTGCTAGACCTGGGCTGCCTGGATACTGGGGAAGTCAGCAGCGTGGAGAACCAGGTGGGACACGGTCTGGGTCTTGGAGCGCGGCAAGCTCTTGACTTTCAGTCCCAGCTGAGATCCCGGCGTCTGGGAGGGCCGAGAGCTAGGTGGCCCCTTGGTGGCCGCGCCTCGGCCAGGATCTCTGGCTCTGTCGCAGGACCGCAAGGTGGTGGGAGCCCGTCGGAGGGGCCTGGGTCCTTCCTCACCGTCTCTGGGGTCTCCTCAGAACCCCGTCCTGTGTGAGCGAGCGGCTGCCGTGTGCACTGGGCTTAGTGGACCCACTGCAGGCGGGGTCCAGCCGCGGCACCGGATTCCGGGGGGGAAGCAGCTCAGCCCGTGGTCGTGGGAGCACTTTTTTGTGCCCGGACTGCGAGCTCACCGCCAAAGCCCGCGTTTCCGCCTGTGTGGACAGCTGCTCGTAGACTAGAAGCTTTAGTGATGCTCATGTGAAGCGTTTGGAGGCTGCAGCCCTCGTTGCTAATAAGTGCCGTCGGTTCCCATCACGATTGTCCCGTGGGGTCACCCCCGTGGGGCCTTTGGGGTGACGAGTCCATGAGAACCTGGATTCGTTTCCCCCCAGCCCTGTGTAGTGGGGTGAAGTGGGCAGGGTGGGGTTCAGACCCTGCCTGGGGCCCAGCCTCATGGTCGGGGGTGCAGAGTGGCCATCTCTCCCCGCAGGAACCAGTCGAATGTCCGGAGGATGCACACGGCCGTGAAGCTCAACGGGGTTGTCCTGAACAAGTCCCAGGACGCCCAGCTGGTCCTGCTGAACATGCCCGGGCCCCCCAGAAACCGGCAAGGGGACGAGAACTGTATCCTTTCCTGGGCGCTGCCCTGGGGGGCAGGTGACGTGGGCGCTGGGCTCTGAACACCCACCCACCTTGCCGACTCCTGTCCTGGCATTTTCCTGCGGCCCGTGGGGCACGTGTGTGTGGTGACTCCATCCCTGGGACCAGCCCAGCCTGGGGAGGCCAGGTCCATGGGGCATCTGCCGAGGGTCCGCCCAGAGCCTTCTCAGCGCCCCTTAAACGCCTTTCTGTTCATCAAGCCTGTGTCCCCACAGGGGGCCCGAGGCCCCTCCTGGTGGGTCAGGGTGTACCAGCATGGAGCGAGGCTGTGACCTCAGGTCACACATGCCAGGCGTGACCTCAGAGTTCACAGGTCAGCCGTGTCCCTAAATGGGCTCCCAGTCCCCAGATGTGCGTCCCACGATGCCTGGGGCGGGTCCCCACACAGGCTCCCGGCTGCCCAGCAGTGTGTAGCCAGGGGGCCGTCCTCCAGGGCTCCGCCCCCGCCCTGCCCTGGGGGCTCAGGGGGACAGGTAGACAGACCGGCAGCCTGGCTGTCAGGTTTAAGCCTCAAGCCAACCACAGCTTTAGGGATTTATGCTTTGCTGACAGACTGGCTGGCCTGTCCGGGTGTCTTGGGCTGTGGACGTGTCCACCAGGCACATCCTCCCAGTGTGTCTGCCCAGAGCCCAGAGCGGGGATGGGGTCTCCTCTGGGTTTCTGGTCAGGTGGTGGAGGCCTTGTGTTGGGGGGTGAGCACTGCAGGCTGCTCGCCTGGGCCCCACCCCACCCTGGGGACCCCGGCCCCAGCTGTCCCTGACGCTGCCCTCATCCCCTCTGTCAAACAGCCCTGTCAGTCGCTCTCTCCAGCTTTGGGCCACGTGTCCGGCAGGTCAGTACTTAACTCAATCCGCCCAGATATGGAGTTCCTCGAGGTCCTGACCGAGGGGCTGAACAGGGTGCTCCTGGTCAGGGGCAGCGGCCGGGAGGTGATCACCATCTACTCCTAGCGCTCGGCCGCGTGGGGCGTGTGCCGGGCAGGCACCCTGACAGTGGCCTGAGCTGCCACTGTGGCTTGCTCCAGAAGTTTCTAGAATACCACCGGGCTCTCCTGCCCAGGCTGAGAGCCAGTGTGTGACTGAAAAGGTCTCGAGTCTGAGGGGATGCGATGCCCTGAGTCCTCCGTGTGCCCAAGGGGTGACTGGGACACATCTGTCCATCTTGGGACGGCCGTGCCCTCAGCCTCTGGATTGTAGAATTAAGTCTCCTTGGCTGCACCTCCCCAGTCTGTTGTGGAAGTCATATGTCCGTGCTCCCCCACCCAGGATGTTCACAAGAAGCCACACTCGGACCGAAGCTGACCCTTGGGCCATTAGGGTCCACTTACGAAGGTGAAAGGTCAGCTCTCAATGAGGGCTCAGCACAGGTTCCTCAGTCAGCCCCCAATCTGTCTGTTCCTTTGAATATCCTTGCGTGTGTTTCCATAAACAAAGGCAGAAAACCGAGCCGCCCACCCCTGCGTCCCGGGGCTCAGCCAGGTGGCCTTGGTCTGGTTGGGGACATCTGGGAAGGGAACCCAGGTGTTCGGGAACACGAGGTCAGTTACCCAGCTGGGTTTGTGCTCCAGGTGGGGGCCCGTGAGCCGGCTGTGTTCTCTCCCGAGCTCTGGCAGGCCCGGCCCGGCGGGACGTCACTGGGCGACGTGGGACGAGCGCTCTCCCGCCTTCAGAACCGCACGCACACCACACCGTTCGCGTGACTTGCACTGATCCTTTGCCCTCCTTGTCCACACTTCACGTCCCAGGGGTGGGGGCGGGGGACTCGGGGCACCCAGCTATCTGGCTGAAGCCTGTGTCTGTCCCACCGTGGAGAGGGGACAGCAACTGCCTTTGAGGGCGCTGACACGGGACCCTGCAGTGACCGCAGGCTTTGCACTTGACCTTGCGGTCTTTCTGCTGTGGTTGTGGTTGTGTTCACTGTTGATGCTTCAGCATTGGCGCCCCGCTTTCTGTAGGGTTTATTTATTTGTTTAAACTTCTGGGCGTGTCAGTGTTCATGAATTTGTCCATAAAGAGATTGTGTCTGTGAAAGAGGCCCGAACGTCCATGCCCTTGGCTTTCGCTGGCTTCCGTGGGGATTTAAGGAATTGGCTCGGTCCGCGGATTTCATCTTGGGGAAAGGTTAAGTGTGCTTCCAGGCATTTCTGAGGAGCCGTCGGACAGCCTAGAGGGCCAGCATCGTGGTCAGAGTGACCACCGGCCAGAGCGTGTGCCAAACAGCCGCAGCTGGGCTGGGGCTGAGGGTCGGCACTGCTGCCTGTCCCAGTCAGCACGGAGCTGGTCGGGGCCCAGCTCACTGGCCGGTGCGTGATGCAGCTCGGCCGTGCCCGCGCGTGCCCGCCCTCTCCACGGTCCCAGCACCACGCAGCCTCTCCACACTGACCTTTGTGTAACTAACTGCAGCCAGTTACAGTGGATTTCACGTTTTCCTTTTGCAGGTTCCTTGTCTTTATATGATTTTTGTTAGTAGAAGAATAAAACTTTAAAATCTGAGTATGTTGAAGGATCTCATGGGTCTTATTCAGCAAAAATTAGACAGTTGCAGAAAATGCCCCCATGCCTCTGTTCTCTTGGAGGAGTTTGCTGAAATGACTACATGATTGGAATCAGTGAAGAAAATCTGTGATTCGAGGGGACGCCTTTAATTATTCTAATACACAGGCTCACGTTGAGAGCGCACTTCCAGGGTGACCACACCCACCAGGTGTGGGTGAGCCGAGGGCAGGGAGGACGAGTGCGAATGTGGCGAGTGTGCGAATGTGGCGGTGCTGGTGGGAGGCGGGGTGTGGCTGCTGAGGGGACAGAGCTGCAGCTCTTCACACGCTCAGGTGCCACGTGGCCCAGCCGTTCCGCTCTCGGGTGAACGCCCAGAGAAATGTTCGTCCACGTAAACTTGCGTGTACACACGTTCATAGCAGCAGTCACACCAGCCAAGATGTGGGAACAGCCCAGACACCCAGCAGTGGATAAACGACTAAACAAAATGTGGTAAACACACTCACTAGGATATAACTCAGTCGTTCTGACACATGCTACGACACGGACGAGCTGTGAAAGGCAGTCGTGGGCCACATGTGGCCCCACTTCAGAATTGCACTGAGCAGGTGAGTTCAGAGACAAAGTGGGTTGCTGGTGAGTTACAGGATTGGGGGAGGGACTTAGTGGGCACGGGGTTCCTTTTGGGGTGAAGATGTTCTAAAGTGGTTGTGGAGTTTGCAGTCTATGAGGGCGAGACAGTGGCTGCCACACGGGGCTCTGAGGCGTGTGGAGCTGTTGGCTGGCGTGTCTCCTTGGGCCTTGGGCAAGGTAGACACAGCGTCCAGTGCTGGAGAGCGCCCAGAGCACAGCCGTCCTTCAGTCCCCACCGGGCAGGTGTGGGCTGTGCCCGGGGCGCTCACCCATGTCCTAGAGCACAGGGACCTGGCCTTGGGGGCAGGAGTGGGTGTCACAGGGGAGTGGAGTGGAAGGACCAGGCCCCACGGGGGTTGGCAGAGATTTGAGGAAGGACTTGGTGGGGTCCCAGGTCCTAACTCAGTCATGTGCCTGTGGGCACCTATGCGGCAGGTTCCGTGGCCCAGCTGTTTGGGCACGTGGTCAGCACAGCTTCGAGTCTGTAGGCTTTCGGGCAGCGTGGCACCTTCTCCACTCAGGTCAGTGAGCTCTGCCAGCTGCTGAGGAAAAATCGCAACAGTTTCCCATATTGATAAAACCACAGACCGCCCCTGCCCCACTGACCTCCGCCTTTGAGGCCTGCAGAGAACACACTGGGACATTTTGGGTGGGGAGAGGCCTGGCGTCCAGGCAGAAGCCCCAAATGGGGGGGTGGGAGGGCGGGATCGCGCCCCTGACCTCATGAACGAGGCCCTCTGTGCAGTGTGACCAGCAGCCTTCGGAGAGGCTGCGTCCACCGGGACCCCATGTGAGTGGAAGGAAACCCTGAGCAGATGAGGGGCTGGGAGGGGCGGTCAGATCGGAGAATCCCTCCAGGCAGAGTCACCAGCCGGCCAAGGCCCTGAGGGCGGGGGAGGGGGGCAGGGCCCATGGGGCCTGGGGTTCGGCGTGTTCTTGGAGCTGAGGAGCCCGGCGTCTGGGGCGCTGGGCGGCTGGTCTGCAGGGCGGGGAAGGGGCGGCTGGAGGGACGGGCACTTGCTGGACGGTGAGGTCAGCAGGGCAGAGGAGGCAGGGCCGGGGCTGGAGGGCTGCCTGCGGTGCTGCTGTTTCACCAGGTCACCGGCTTCTGGTCTGTTGGCTGGAGTCTCACTGCACTTAGGAATTGTTCTTAAAACGGGTCTGAGATCAGAGGCTGGCGTTCAGGCCCCACCAAACTTCCACGACCGCTTGTCAGCGGAGCGCCTGCCTGAGGACTAACTAAACAAGGTCCCCGGATGTGGGACCAGGAGCAAGAGCCCTGCACACTGGGAAACGTAGCTCAGGGTGACACGCATCTCTGTGAAACCCCGACGCGGCAGTGTGGGGTCCTGCTTGTGCAGGATTCATGCACGTGCACGCAGTGTAGACGCGTCCCCACGAGAGGGCGCTCTGCCCCTGGCGCGAGCACGCGAGCTGAGCTGAAATACCTGGGAAGCAGGTGAGGGCTCCGGCCGAGAGACCCCAAGGACACCCCAGTTCGCCCTGCACGTGGCCTCGGCTCACGGAGACACCAGTTCCTCAAAACTCCCGAGGGGTTTTACGTGGCCGTGACCCGGGGTGTGACGGCGAAAGGGAGGGAGAGGAGACAGCCACGAATGATGCAGTGGCTTCTCCCGTCTCATCAGAGAGCCCAGTGTCTCTACGTAAACCTTGAAGCCCCAGTGAAACCCCAGAAGTGGTTCGAAGCGTCCCCTAATCATGAACCCGATTTCGGGCTTCGGTTTTTCTATTTTTTTTTTTTAAAGGAGGGCACAGCTCACAGTGACCCATGTGGGGTGGAACCGGCAACCTTGGTGTTAGCACCGCGGCTCCAACAAACTGAGCCAGCCGGCTGCCGACGGTTTTGAGCTTTTTGGTTTTCTTTCTAGTGCAGTAAAGTGGGGGGAAAGTTACCCATAAATCTGGAAGTTTGTGTGCCTGCACGTATGTGAATGTCCTTCTCCAAGCGTTCGTATGAATGGAGGCAGACACCCATTCCGTGCAGTGTGAGCCTCCCAGGCTGGTGCAGGTGGCCAGGTGGTATCTACTGAAAAAGCTCATTTTAAAACAGGCTATGACATGGTACAAAACACACGTTTTTATTATGCCTGGGTAAAAGAACCTCAATTACAAATCAACCACCAGTTTGCTTGATTCTTAAAAATAGCTCTATGAAGGTCAACGCAAAATCACCCGCACAAACTCACACGCTGCCCGCGAGTCCTCTTGCTCGTCGCAGACGGAGGAAGGGGCCGCAGGACTGTCCTGCCTCAGGGATGTGGCTGGCCGGCGGTCCACGCCCCTGCAACGCACTGCCCTGCACTACTGGGACTTCCTGCGTGTCTGGAACCCTTTTCCTGACCCTCCCAGAGGGATCGCCTGTTCCCACAGGTGAGCACCGCGATGGCTTGTGTGAGCGCAAAGGGCGAGCGTCCTGCCGCCTGGCTAGTGGGCTGCGCGCTCTCGTGGGAGCTCACCCCCTCCCTGGCCCGTCTGTCCAAGGCGTGTCCACTAAGATGCTGGTGCCACCCACCCGCCTGCTCTCGTGGCCTCACAGCCTGCATTTCTTGACCACTCTCCAAGGAGCGCCTCGCCCCTCTCTGTGGCCGCCCCTCCGCTTCTTCGGTGGGTGCTGGGCATGGTGTGCCGGGTCGCAGAGCGCGGAAGAACGTCTGCCCTTTGGGCATCACAGTGAATAACGACTCGAGGGCTGTGCCGCCGTCCATCCAGCCTGGCCACGTCGTAACGGCCTCGCCAGCCTGCACGTGTTAGTCCAAGGCACGCGACACGCAAGGCACCTCAAGAAAAGCGTGAAGGTTGTCCGCGCGCAGTCCTTGCAGCACCACAAGGGTTCGCTTTGGAATCATAAATGAACGATACAAGTGTATTTTTCTACGCTTACATATGGTTTTATGGGTTACACAGAATAACTTCGTAATGGAAATGTCAGTGGCATCAGACATGTTCATCTCAACACGACATCCATGGACAGCACGGAGGACAGCAGAGCAGAGGAGGGACGACGGGCCCCGTTCTCACGTGCCCCCAGTGCCACCTGGGCTGCCCCGCTGGGGACCGGAGCTGGCGGGTGGGGGTGGACTACGACGGGTGGTGGTGGTGGTGGTGGTGGTGGTGGTGGTGCTCGTGGTGGTGGTGGTGCTCGTGGCGCTGGACCGCGGGCGCCGTGCAGCCCTCCCCCACCAGCAGGGGCGGCAGGTCCCGCACCACCTCGTGCTCCAGCGCCGAGGGCTGGCCCAGGGCGGCCTTGAGCGGCGAGTGGCCCTCCTTGCCCTTCTGCCGGTACCGCTTGTGGCCGTAGGGCTGCGGCAGGGGCTGCGGCGGGGGCTGTGGGAGGTGGTGGCCGTCCTGGGGGGCCTGGGGTGGGGTGGCCAGCGGGTAGTAGCTGAAGGTCCTCCCAGGCTTACCACCACCAGACACGCCGCCACCAGGTCCCCCAGGAGGCCTGCCCGAGCCTTTGGGGGACTTGAGGAACTGCTTCTCCCCCTTCAGCCGGGGCTGCACCTCCAGGGCCCGGCCGGGGGGCTCCGCGGCTGGTAGGGCGTGGTCAGCCAGCACCTGGGACCTGCGGTTGTGCGTGGCGTGTGCGTCTGCGTCCTGGGAGCGGGACCTGCTCGGGGGGTGGGCGGCCCTGCCCTGGTGCTCCTGCTTGGCCTGTGCCGGCGGGGACCCTGCCGACAGGACACAGGCTGTGAGGCCCTCTGCAGGGCCTGGGCATCTCACCTTGGACCAAGAACCCTTGGTACCTGGACGCAGTGCCACAGCACGCTCGCTGCAGGGGCCCAGGACCCCACAGGCGACTCACACTCCTGAAGGAGGCGTCCACTGCCAGGGGCCTCACGCCCAGCGGACTGGTGTCCAGTACCTACCGGGTCCGAACCTGGATGTGTAGTTCTCGATCCCAGCCAGGTCCAGGTAGTGGTTTCTCCGCTCGGTGTTCTCGTCCACACAGTACGGCCCCCGCACGGAGCAGGGGTGGGGGTCAGCACTGGGCCTCCTGCGTGGACACAGGGTCAAGGGGCCTGACCTCTGGCTGCAGCAAAAGCCACAGCAGCACTCCTCAGAGAGGAAGGGGGCGCTGCAGCGGGCAGCCCGGGGTTCTGGGCAGGGGGCTGTGCCCAGCACCCACCTCCCAGCAAGGAGCACCAGGAAGGGTGGGCGTCCATGACAGCAGGGTCCCCAGCCAGCCCAGGACCCCATCGGGGCACCAGGGTCACAGTTGCAAATTGCCTTAGGGAATCTGTAGTCCCATCTTCTGGTTCACCTACGATGCCCCGAGCCAGAGAGCGTGTCACTGCTCTGACATCCGAGGCCACCGCCCGTCACCGCCACAGCCCGTGAGTGGAACCACAGGCTGCCAGGCTGAGAGTCGGGAGCCCCACCTGCCCTTTAAGACTCACCCACCTCAGACGCTGGGTGTGCTCAGCTCTAGCTGGAGTTGGGGTCCGAGATGGCACCCTCGCTGACGGGAGGGTGTGCCCAGGGCTCCTCTGCACCAAGCGGGCGGCCCCCACGGTGTGCAGGAAGCGGGTGTGGGAGGGCACGCCTGGAGGGCAGAGCCCGACCCGGGCCCCTCACCTGATGTGCGCAGACAGCCTCCTGTCGACCGCCCTGGGGTCCTCGGTGAGCTCGCCCTCCACCCGGCAGCGAGGCGGCTCCCGGTCTGGAAGAGGCGGGTGTGCTTTCACTCACTCATTTGTTCACTTGTTCATTCATTCACTCATTCATTCACTGCACAGACACTTCTGAGGCCCTGCTTTCCAGGCTCAGGAAAGGGCAGAGATTTTGCCCTGGGGTGCTGGGGGTGCTGAACAGTAGACACAATTAGCAGTGACCCCCCCCCATGGCCTGCTGCGTGGGAGGAACGGCTGTGGAGAAATGCACAGCGGGGGCGCGGGCGGGGGCTGCAGGGCGGGGGTGGGGGGGCTGCCATTGAAAGCAGGGTCCTCGGGGCATCTGAGGGGAGGCCCAGGCCCCTCACCCTGGCCAGCGGGGGGACCATCCTTCCTCTTGCCGACGGGCTCGGGGCTGACGGTCAGCTTCACGCGGAGGGTCTTGCTGCTGCTGGAGTGGTTGACGGAGGCGTCCACGACCTCGTAGATGGTGTGCATCAGGCTGGACATGTCCTGAGGGCGGCACTGATGTCACCTGCCTGCCTGTTTGAGTCACTTGGCCTCCCAGATAGACCCAGATGGGACGACTTGCTGAGCAGCCTTTGTCACCCCACGTTTAGCCCCGTGTGACGCCAGGCAGCCCTGGCAGCAGCCCCTGTCGCAGTCACACCCCTTGGACCTTTTCCATTTCAGTCTATGCTCAAAGGAGTAAGCAACCACATAACTACCTGTTTTGCTCTTTGACTCAAAGACACATTTTAGTCAACCTATGATACGTGCCTGCTTCCTTTCGAGGGGCACTTGCCCACCCTGGACACACAGGCCAGCAGAGGAGCGAGGCAGGGCCACTGCTGGGACCACCGCCACCCTGCTGAGGGCTGCTGGCCCGGCTGGGCCTCTGGGGACGCCCACGGGAAACAGCACAGACAGTCTCGACTCCAGTGGTCGCCTGGGTCCTGCCGTGGCCCCCTCTGTCCCCCCCGTACCCCCTCTCCTCCCACCCTAGAGGGCTCAGCTTGTCTGCCCATCGTGGAGACCAGGGCTGGTGGCATCTGTCTGCGGCCATCCCCCTGCCCGTGGACCATCTGCCCCAGACACAAGTGCCTCACCTCCCTGGTGGCCTTCCCCCTGTTGTCAAAGCCGTAGAGCGTGAAGGTCCACTCCTGGCGGTTGTCCTCCACCGAGACATCGCAGTGGAGTGCCTGCAGGGCGCGTGGGGACAGAGGCAGGCGGGGTCAGCACGCTGAGCTGGGACGCCCAGCTCCCCCGCCTCTCAGGAAAACGGGCCCCTCCACTGCTCCCCCGCGCTCCTGCCCTGGGCGGGCTGGGAGACCAATGCGGGGCCTCTTTGTCCTTCCGGTGGTGCCAGCGCCACCCCAGCAAATCCCCAGATTATTGGGTGCCACATCATCAAGCAGTTTCTGCTGGATTCTCGGTGACACCCTCTGCCCCCCAGAGCCAGCCGACACTGGGAGCTTGTGCAAGCTTTGTCGTTAACTCCTCCCACCGCCTGAGCCTCAGGCAAACCATCCGAGCAGGCGCTGGTTTGGGGCCGACGTGCACCGAGGTTTGCAGACACCTACGTCGATGTGCAGGTGCTTCTTGCCCAGGCCCCGCGGGCCCTCGCGGCTCGCTGCCCTTTCTCCATCGTCCACACTGACGAGCTGCCCCGGGCCCTCAGCCTTCTCAGCGGGGAACACCACTGCAGGGAAAAGAAGGGGCGAGGAAGGCCGTTTCCCCCGGCCCGGCCCGGCCCAGGCAGGGGACGCGGAGCAGCAGGGCTGCAGGAAAGGTGCTGTCAGGGCACCTCTGATCCTCCCCAGATGGGCTCGAGCTGAGAACCCATCCTTCCAAAAAAAGGTGTCAAGGACCCTGGACAGAGAGAGGCCAAGGCAGCCCTCACCGGGACCCCACGGCCAGGTGTGTCCTGCTGCTTCTGTCCCGCCCAGCCAGCGCTGGCTTTGGAGAACAAGGTAGAGAGCAGACTTCCCCGGGGTTGGTCTGGATTTCACGGGGAAGTGAAGAGCGCATGGGCGGTGCACATCACCAGGGGGCCAGTTTGTCCAGGTTTGGGGCATATGCCGGGAAGACGGGGTACAGTCTGAGGTCTGAGAAGCAGGACTTACCCTCCAGAGGACACTGGTCCTCCCGGAAAGGTTCCTCCTTGGGGTCCCCACTGGGCAGCTCCTGCAGGGAGAACAGGGAGCCTGTGACCATGGGCCAAGGGCTCCAGCCTCCGGGGGTGTCACTGCTCTCGGTGTCGACACCAGCCTGTCCAGGCCCCTCTAAGCCTCATGGTTTTAGAAAGCAAAACATTCCCATCCCGCGGTATTGTCTGGGTCCATCAGAACTGTCTCCAGGACAAGACACACTGCACGTGACAGGACGTGCCCTGTCCAGTCGTGGCACACGCCTGAGATCGCGGCCAGAGAGAGAGCAGAGCTTGTGCGTGGCCGCTGCTGAGAGGCACCACAGACAGGACACCAGGCCACAGACAGGAGGGCCGCCTGCGCTCGCTCCAGCCCAGCCTGCAGCACTTCCGGGAGCTGGACGCAAGGGCTGGACGCGCGCCGCCCGTCACTGCCGAGAACCTGCCGGGCTGGGCTGTGTGTGGGGGGTGTGTGGGGGGGCGCACCTCCCCCACGCAGCTCTCAGCTTCCAGGGTCTATCCCAAGACCAGTTATGGAAAATGGGCGACTTCCAACAGAAACACGACAGATCGAAAACTCGCATGGTCCTCGTGAATAGCCCACCAAAATGAAGAATTCGAGGAAACGTGGTGGGGTGGCCAGGGAAGCGCCTTGCACCGGAGGACCCTGCCTGGTGGGGAGACGTGCCAACACCGGCCACTCGCCCCAGGGACAGGAGCACTTCCGGGGCTCCTGGGCGGGCAGGCGTCCTCTGCTGCCCAGACGCTTCTCGTCTGGCTGGACGGCTGCAGAGCTGAGGCCTGGCCGAGGACGGAGGGGGAGGTGTCTGTGTGGACGCGGCTGCCCCAGGCTGCATGGTGGCCGTTCCTCCCAGCCCTGTGGCTTCATCTCTCCTCCTGACAGGGAGTCACGGCGCCAGTGGAGGCCCCATCTCTCCCTTGGCTGCAGGCCTGGAATCCAACGCGACAGGAGGCCCAGGACTGTCACGTGATGCACAGCAGTCTTTGGCCAGGGTCCTCGCGGGAGATGGTGGAACGTTCCAGACAGACCCGCTGCCACCCCTCGGTTATGGGCGCGGGGGTGAGTGCTGTCGGGTCAAACACAGCTATCCTGCCGGCTCTCCTCTGTAAACTGGGAGTTGGAAGCAAGCACTCGGAGATGAGGTCTGCAGCCATCATCCAGGGCAGCTCGGCGGGCGAGGGTCCCGCTGTCCCCGCTGCTGGAGACGAGGCCACACTTGGCCGCAGGACCGGCCTCTTCCTCTCCCACTTTTCATTTCATCGACAGCATCCAAATCCCGGGGCTGGCCTGGCAGGTCCGTCCCACTGACCGGTGACCACAGGAGCCTCTGTCGGCCCGAGGCTGCCCAAGGCGCCCAGTCACCTCAGGAAAAAGACAGGAGGCCGTGCCTCGGTTCCACCTCAGAAGCACCTGCCACACAGCCGCTGCGCCCATCACGTGCTCTCAGGTTCAGGCTCTCAAGGGACCTGCTGCCATCGGCCCTCCCGCCAGGCCCTGCGGGTGACCTCAGGGGCAGCCCGTGTCCATTGGCTGTAGGAAAAGGGACACAGGCCCACTCCGTCGCAGACCGCGTCTCTAGCTCATCCTTTCTGAGAGGCTCCAAGGCAGACAAAACGAAACAAAAACCTCAACGCTTCCACCCAAATCTACAGCTGATCTTTCACAGGAGGCACCGAAGAGGAACATAAACGCCCTTAGCACCCGTGGTTCTGGGCACTCACACCCCAGGTTTGGTGTGGACAAGCTTGGACGTGCAGAATGGAACCCCGATAAGCCGCAGGACCTCCCAGGAGTGCAGCTGGGGTGACCCAAGGGACGGAACACCTGCCCCTCTGGGGGTCTTGAAAGATCCGCTTGGCCACAGAGATGGGCGGGCGAGTGCTGGAACGGGCACGGGGGACAGTGGGCGGGTGGGGAGCCTGCCGGGGCTCCGACAGGGCTGTGGGTGCTGACGTAGAGCACCCTGGACAGCTCAGGAACCATCGCTGCCGCGACTGTGCCTGGAGGGTGGAGGGTGGAGCGTGGAGGGCGACGAGCTGCACCCAGAAAGGGCTCTGGGTGCGCAGGGAGGTCGGATGACCCCTGCCCTGTGCCCTTGTCCGCTGCCCCCACGTCACACCCTCAGGACAAAGCTACTTCCATAGTCCACTGAGGACGCCAGTTGGGAATCTGCTTGAGCTTGTTTCAATAAGAAACAAAACACCTAATTATTAACAGACACCGTTTTTCTCCCTTATTGTACAGCCTGCCGACATCTGAAGACCTTGATCTGCCGCCGTGCTAAGGGCTCACTCAGGGTCCTAAAAACACCCGTTCACACGTCACATGCCAAGCAGCGCTGGGTCCAAGGTCTCCCCTCACCTGTGGGCGGGGCTGAGCTCTACCCGGTGGACATGAAGATAAAGCCACATCACTGCAAAAAACCTGACATTTGGCTACATGTTTTTCTGCAAAATTAAAACAAGCCATGAAGCTGAGGTCCCAGGCATTTTGGGGGAACAGGGGAGGTGCCCGGACTCCCTGAGGCAGCCTCCATGGGGAAGGGGCCGGGTGCCAAAGGCCTACAGGTCAGCGGTCACCGAAGTCACGTGATAAAGGGCAGTCAGGGTCAGCTGACACCCAGGCTGGAGCTCTGAGGCCACTGTCGATGTTGCCGGCGCCTGGAGGGAGGGCCAGTGGCCTCAGTCCCAACACAGCAGCTGCTGGGAGGCCCCGCTCACACCCTCTCCTCTGGGACCGGAGCAGGGAGGACAGGGACCTGCTTGGTGAGGAGGCCCCACCGCAGGGTGCTGACCGCTGCCCCCTCCACCACGTTCCCCAACTCCCGCCTCGGTGTCAGCCAGGCTGACGCTCAGAGTGTCCTGATCTGCACGACTCCAGACGGCTCCACCCCACCTGGGCCCGAGAGCACTGTCACCTCGTTACAATCACAGAAGCGAAACGAACGGTGGCAATGGTCCCTTCCGAGTGTGAGGCTCTGGGGCCGAGTGTGCACAGCGTTTCTTGTTGAAAGAGGTCAAGTCATTCGGTGAAACCGCCGAAGCGCCAGACCCTCTTCCAGGAAAGCGCTGGAGCCCAGAAGGGCCGGTGGTGCAGCTCCTGCAGGACACGCCCCCCGGGATCCCAACGGCAGGAGGCAGCACAGCCTTGCAGGGTGTCCTACGGCGCGCCCAACACTCCGACCACACCACCATCAAGGCACAGGAACGAAGGACAGACACAACAGTCAGCAGCGGATGCGACAGTGATGGGGACAGCTACGCTGCAACAGCCAGCACGTGACGGGTGCCCCAAGGTGCCTTGAAGTTCCAGCTGAACAAATGTTCATTCATATGCCCCGGTCCTAGAATCTACAGTGTTTACCTAAGAGCTACCTCAGCAACTACCTGAGATGCAGAGTCTCAAAAGAGGGAAAAAAGAGCATTTGGGAGGAAAGGAACAATTCTTGTCCCTGGGACTGGTGGTTTCGGTCAAATTCATCCTGGTTACTATGCTGCTTTAGCTAAACAGAAGGGTCCAGAGCTTTAATGGCAACCGATAAACCCACCACAGGGACGCTGGGCAGATGTGCAGCCCCTCCCTGCAGGGGTGACCTCCCAGGTGGCTGAATCCCGCTCCCTGGGAGACTCGGGGTGGGGAGGATGCGAGCAGATACCCCATCTCCTGAAGGCCAGCAAGTGTCCACCTCCCACAGCGCCCGGCCCAGGGCGAGGCTCCCCTCTCAGCTCCCTGAGCTGGAGACCCCCGTCCTGGACCTTCAGCTCCCCCTTACTCCCTTTGTGCCCCCAAAGGAGCCCCAGCCTCCAGCCTATGAAAGCGCAGCTCCGTTCTCCGGGATCTGGCCCCGCCTTCTGCCTGGACAGGGTGCTCAGCACCACGCTCCTTGCTCCTGGCCGACAGCTGACAGCTATTCCCGCCCCTGGGGCTCCCTTGCAAGCCTGCAGGGGCCACCACCCGCCGTGCTCCGTGCTCCGAGCTGGGCCTGACTTTCTGCTGTTCCCCTCGGGCACGCACCACGGGGCAGCGCTGTCCTGGCCGCCTGCTCCCACCCCAGCTGCCCATGGGCATTGTCCGCTCATTGTCCAGCGCCTCCTGGGCCCTCCAGCAGCTGGGCTCTGCTGGCCACTGGGGACGGGGTCTCGCCCGCGGCGTCCCACTGCTTCACCAACAGCCAGCTCCTTTTGCACGTCAATGTTAGGTGGCTGTGACCCTCCCGTGGGGTCCCTGTGTCCGATCCCCGCCCTCTCACCCTGCAGAGGCTCTCAGGAGAGACCTTCCAGGCCTGTGAGTCAGCTGCCCGAAGCCACCATCCACGGCTCATGCCTGACTGTCCTGAGCTCAGACTCCGAGGATGTCCGCTCCACGAGCCACAGCCCTGCCCTCCCCAGCAAGCAGCCCCGCCCGGGACAGTCCTGGTGAAAGACCAGGTGAGACCGTGAGACGCTCCCCACAGCTGCCTCAGCACGGGGTGTTGGGGGTTCACCTACAATCTCGGCTCCTGGCCTCCCTTGAAAAACCAGACGGTCCAGCGACACATTCCTGTGGGACAGCGCTCGGCGGAGCCGCACAGCCACACGGGGTCCTCAGCCCCCTCCACCAGGGCTGTGGTGACACAGCTGTCTGCCTCTCGGTGTGAGGTCTGGGCTGTCCACGGGGGGTGTGAGGTCCAGGAGATCACACACACCTGGCTGAGGGCTTCTATTCAAGGCCATGCAGGAGATAGGAGAGGAGAAACCTTTTGTGGTGCAAACAACCACATCCTGGGCGGTCTGCTTTTCAGATTTCAACGTTCAAAATGCGATGCATCTGGGATCTTAGCAAACACACGCCCAGCATTCAGGGGCCTGTTTTCCTGGGAAACGCAACACTTTTGCACAAACCAAAAGCTTTCCATTCCCTGCCTCTGGGAGAGACCGTCCCTGAAACCAGTGTGGCCAGAGCGAGTGCTTCCTCTCCTGGCGACAGAGCGAGGCTGACAGCCCTGAAAAGAAGGGCCTCATAAGACCTGTTCATTTC